CGACCTTCCCCTTTCAAGTGGCAGCGGCGAGGCCTTGTCGGCCCGCCGGACTTTCTCCCTCCCTCTTCCCCTGGCAGCGGCAGCGAGGCTTCGTCGGCCGCCAAGCTTTCCCCCCCCCCCCTCAGCCCCCCCAGCAGTGGCAGCGAGGCCGGAGCTCCGCTCGCCAAACTTTCTCCTTCCCCCCTGGGTGGCGGCGGCGAGGGATTTGCAGTTTACAGCCGCCAGCCGGCCAAGCCTTCCCCCCACCCCCTCTCCTCCTGTTGCCGCTGCTGAAGCCATTCCAAGAGCATTCCCTGCGCATGCACAGTGGACACTCTTTTACTTTTGGGGGGATTTAAGAATCCCCCGATATTTTTTCCAACTTTTCAGATTTTTGTGCACACCTGGGGACCGCCCCAAGTGTGCACGAAAATCTCCCTCCCCCCCCGCACGCCAGGGGGCACCTTCGCTATTAGATATATAGATGTTTTTTAGAAAATATTAGTAGCAGTGATTCAGCCTTCAAGACAACATCTGAGAAGCATGTGTTCAGGACTATCTCAATCCTAACAGTGGGTTCCCTCCACCTCCCAAGGCTGTGGATATTGCCAACCAGCCTTGCCCTACGTTTATGGTATCTGGTCAGACCTGCCCCACAGGTTGACCTTCGCTGTCCCATATGCTTAACTCCAGTCTGCCAGGGCCAAGCTAGTCCATCCCCTCCCACTTGCCATCTCTCAGCAGGTCCTGTGGACCCCAAGGGTGTCTGAATCACATACTGCCACACAAAAAGAACAGAATACATACAATAATCTGCATGTGGTGGACAGCACAGGATGCCACCATATGTGGAAAAAGCTACCAACCTCTAGATTGGTAAAACGTGAGTATATAAACGTTTGCTCTGCAACTCGATGCACAGGGCAGAAGGTGTGATGCTTTCTGATGCTTATGCAAATGTGTGCCATCACGTGAAGTTACTTTTTGCACATGCTCTGAACATGTACGAGGCCTTCACAACAATCTTATTCTTTTTTTTAATCTTCTAACAGCCTTTTGAGGCAGTTTACCTTACTGCAGAACTGAAGCTTTGAGGCAGTAACTAGCTTGTGACCACCCAATCATTTCTAAGGTAGAGATTAAAAACAGTTCCCCCACATCCAAATCTAATATGGTGTTAACTAGAAGATCACACAGGCATCATAGACGTTTCCACAGTTTGGACCCCTGTATGTGTATACACTTCTTTTTTCTGCCAACCATGCTGTGGCCCCTTTCAACTAACATATCAACAGCACATTCCTGGTGTCAAAGTGCTTGCTGTATGTGCAGTGAACATGGAAAGGAAGACAGCGGTCAGAATGAGGGGCTAGGAGTCACTGCGAGAATAACTGGGCAGGCAGAATCCTCTTCCATACTGGACAATAATCACAACTAGCCATCTGATGAACAAAGAAGCGGAAGGCTGCACCCCAGGATATGGAGGGGGGGGGGCAATGGAAAGACTGATGAGAGAAGGGGATGGTAGTCACAGCAACATGCCTCTAATATCATCCTGGTGACAGCATTTAATAAAAAGTTCTATGAGATGTTAGTCAATATTTTTTTAAGCAGACACAGTACACCACAAACTCTTAAATATTTAAAGCATGCAACCACCTTGTAGAAGCCGCTCTGTGCATTTAAAATATCACAAAGCTTTTCATTGGGGAAAAGACAAAACAAAGCTACAGCATATCAAATAAACATTTTTTGCTGGTTAACACTTGCTTTAAAATAAGCATCCTCCATAACATATAAAGAATAATTCTTTCCCTGGCATTTGCTTCTGCAACTATTTTAGTATTTCAGACGAAAATATGTTTTAGAAACTGAGCCAAGCCAAGGGGGGCGGGGGAAATCAGAGACAATTTCACTAGAAAGGAAAAGGGCTGGAAGTAAAATAGGATAGGATACATACCATTTCGTTTCAAGCTGTTCATCCATTTATCGAGTTCTTCCATCTCTATTTCCATTACAGAGGGAGTATCTTCTTCAAAAATAGGACTGAATAAAAAAAAATAGAAATACATTTTGGACATTGTTGTTAAAAACTATTTTCATTTAGTCTGATACTTTCAATATGGTTATGTCTGCCATATATTTAGAGTGAATCTAAGTGTTTGGCTGTTGGTGCTAGTTTTGGAAGAATGCATCAACTGTTATGCAGGCATTATAGAGCCAATCTACTGCTCAGTGGAGCAGCAGGAGCAAAACTGGGGGGAATATTGGCATCATGCCATCATAGTAAAACCCACAGAGTTTGGTGTGAATCCTAGAATGTCATCCTAGTGTAGCGACATAACTTCTGGATACATGTTGGAAGTGACATTGTGGCATTGGTGCAAAAGTAAGGACCAGGGCTCCTCCTCTGAAACTCTCAGGGGTTGCCAGCACTGGCAATCATAGGCTCCAACCTTACACACTGTCCTTGCCATGGGGCACAAGCTCCTGCTAACACATGAAGTGGCACCCTATTCAAGTAAATTCAGGACCGAGCTGAACATCTCTTCCCTGTTACCATTTAAATATAGGTCCATACTACAGTCCCTTGCCAATACATGGCTGAACCATTGCTAGAACTATATAGAAACAAGGGTAGTTCTCCCAAATAGTGGCACACCAGTGACACACTCTGTAGTTTTCCTGATTACCTTTTAGGCTGCACCCCCACAGTAGGGTTGCCAGGTCCTTATCTTCAGCCGGTGTGGGGCTCCAGCCTGCTCCCCTGGATCTTCTAGAAGTGATGTCATCGTGCTAGGCACATTGTGCAGGGGACGCTCTAGCATTTGGCCAAAAACTCTGGTCACCATAGAGGTCTGAGCCGAATGCTAGAGTGTCCCCTGCTAGAGCATCATCGTGCCGGCCACATCAAGCGAGGCAGGGCTCTTTGGGGGCGGGGCTCTCCCCGCTGGCCAGCTGGCTGCCGGTGGACTGGGGCCCCCAAAATTGGGGCAACCCCTGCTCTCATCAGGGGGATGGCAACCCTACCACACAGGGATTTTCCCCCATGTGAGCTGCAGGAAGCCCCTGCAGTAAACAGCAAGGTCCACATGATGTTGTGCACAAAGCAGACACGACTAATTTGATTCCGGGTTTCCCCCCACCCCCCGAACTAGAGAAAATAAAAACCTCCTTTATTTTTTGTTCTAAAAGGAGAAACTGTAGGATGGGTGCACGTTCAAAGCAGCAGAGGGCAGCTGCTGCCATGT